CTAAAAAGAATACATTTACTGACGAAACAAGATCTGTATAATATTGAAAAAGAATTCGGTCTTAATGAGACTATGCGTCATTCGAACGATGCCATTAGTGTCGAAGCATGGGTACAAGGCCAAAAGGGTGAAAATGACTGTGTTTTGTTATATAAACCACAAGGGGTTGATGAAACTGCCACATTCACCAAGAATGATTTCGCTCTTGCAATAATGACTGAGGCACAAGGAGAACTTTTGAAAAAGTTTGGTTCAGACTGTATTTGTATAGACAGTACTCACGGTTTGGGCGCTTATGATTTTGAAGTGGTAACCGTTATGGTAATTGACAATATGAGACAAGGATTTCCGTGTGCATTTTTTATCACAAACAGAACAGATAAATCTGCTGTGAGTGAATTTCTTTCAGCAATCCGAGAGAAAGTTGGAATGATAAATCCTAATGCGTTCATGTCAGACATGGCTGAATCATTTTATAACGCGTGGAAAGAAGTAATGGGCCCAGTTGATAACAGACTTTATTGTACATGGCATGTCGACCGTGCATGGCAAAAGAATCTGTCAAAGATAAAAGATTGTGATAAAAGACAAGCAGTATACAAGAAGTTAAGAGTTCTGCTGGAAGAAACAGATCCGAATGCATTCTTGGCAATGCTGGGACCAGTTATTGACGAACTTCGCAGCGACCAAGCCACCGAAGAATATGGTGATTACTTCAAGGAACATTACGGGTCAAACTACCATTCATGGGCATACTGTTTTCGAGTAAATGTAGGAATTAACACTAACATGCATCTGGAAAGTATGCATAAAACAATAAAGCATTTTATATTGGAAGGAAAAACTGTCAATCGACTTGATAAAGCGATAAGTGCAATTATGCAACTCATTAGGCAGAAACTCTTTGACAGATTACTAATAATTGAAAAGGGAAAACTAACGTCAAAAATAAAAATTCTCAGAAACCGTCACAAAAGTTCTTTGTCCATGAACCCAGACTTAATTGTTAAGTCCGAAACTTTAGAAAATTCGTGGAACGTGGCGTCATCAAATTCTGCAGAAATTTACACGATTTGTCAGATAAAAGAAGAATGTCCATGTAGCATTATTTGCAAGCAGTGTACAGCATGCATACACAAGTTCACATGCACATGCATTGATGCATGCATTAAATCTAACATGTGTAAACATGTGCACCTACTATGTCGGAAATTGATGTCGGAAGATCAAGGTGAAGCCTTTAATCAAGAAGCCCTTAACCAAGATCAAGTCAAAAGTTTGGAAGAAAGAAAATCAATATTGGCAGAAGTCTCAACTAAAACTGTTCTGCCCACAAGAGTGAGACCTACTGACAAACTTCTACTAAGGCAACGTGTTGAGTCAATTTTAAATAAAATTGACAACCCGGAGAGTTTAAAAGTAGCTGATCAATGCCTGAAAAACCTAGATGCAAAGTTGACATCGATAAAACAAAGGAATATTGCCTTAAAAGTAAGAACCAAGACCAAAAAGATAAAAATCGAGCCTCAAAGGCGTTTTTTTTCAACCAAAAACAAAAAGAAAAAAGGGTTGAAAGCAACTTCCCGGCCTACACGAGAAGAATCTCAGCACATTGCTTTAACAGCATTGTTGCTCAGTACAGGGGTTGAACCTTCAACTCCATGAGTTGCTTAACCAGGTACGGTAGGCTAAGATCAATATTAAGACTAGTTTATTTAATCCATAACTTTAAACAGTAATACATTATTGTATTAACTGTAGTCTTATTATTAATAATACATTTTTCCCCCAATTTTTATTTAATTTATATAAATGTCATCATATTTACTTATCATTTAATTTAAAACAGATTGTAAATAAAACCAATAAAACTTTGTAAAAGAAATATATTTAATAATTTTTAATCATTAGGTAATAATCAACCATCAATTATAAATTAAATGAAATAGTAACAGCTGACACATTCTTATTTTCTAAGTTAAAGTTCTTGTACTTCAAATTTTTTTACTTGCCTTGAATTTTCATAATTTGAGTATTTACTTAAACAGAATTGAATAAGCATGAGTATTTACTTGTACTTCTAAAAAGCCTTTCCAAGAAAGTATATACCCTCAGAAACCTATAAATTTGGTGTGAATAACCACCAGCAAATACTTGCCTAAAGAGTAAATACTTGTTTTTCAACTAGTTATCAGTAACCCATGCTTGTTTAAGTTAACTTGTTGATAAATGCATGTAACACATTCAGTATGGTGTAATACACTTATTTAAATTATGTATGACACTAGTGATTTCCGCAAAATAATGCTTGGGTTGAAGATGGAACCTTTGTGGTATTCCTTCGTTATGTTCAAGCTATTTGTTAATGAAAATCCATCCACAAGTCTCAATAATGCAAAACCTTCACATTTTACATGTTTAAATGAAGGCCTTAGACCTTCAATAATATATATATTTATCATATATAGCCTATAATATATATATATATACTTGTACTGTATAATGTTTACTTTAAAATGGAGTACATACTTGCAAGTATACCCTCATATCCGATAGATCAGTATACCACCTCATTTAGGAAGTAGTACCTGGGGACCAAGCTTTGCTCGGGGAAAATCATTAGTTTACTCTGAAAACAGTTTAGTATTGCAGATACATTAATCCACTCCCAAACTCCACACTGCTTACCTTTACTACTTCCTTCACCATTCTCTACGTTGTGGACCTGTTTGCCCTCATTTTAGATTTGCAGATCTATAAATGCCACAGACAGTTCCCACACTCTGCACTGCTAGCCTTACTACTTCCTTCACCATTTCCTACGTTATGGACCTGTTTTCCTCCCTTCTCATAGCATTTTAGGATTGTAGATACCCTAATCTAATCCCCATTAACAGTTCCCACACTCCAGACTGCTCACCTTTACTACTCCCTTCACCACTTCCTACGTCGCAGACCTGTTTCCCTCCCTTCCCATAGCATTTGAGGATTGCAGATACCTTAATCTAATCGTCATAAACAGTTCCCACACTCCACACTGCTAGCCTTTACTATTATTGATAAAAAAAGTCCTCCTAAAATGTATCCAGTAATCTTCAGTATCATCTTTGCTCAATAGTAACAACTGATGTTTTTCCTTTTGTACTGTATTTTGTAATTGCTAGTATACTGTGGATAGACTACTAACAAGTCTTTTGTTTACTTTTTCCTTGTTATTCAATTCAACTAACATGGTTACTTAGCAACCCATAAGACTTTCAGTTTCATTTTTCTACGTAATTAGAATTTTGTTGGCAGTTCTAACTGCAATAAACTCGTTTTTAGACCAAAAATAAACTATTTACAACATTTGAAGACAATCGTCGGAGCCGTTTTCGAGATCTTGGTGCAAGCATACATACATACAAGCAAACATTGCTCGTATTAGAGTATAGGATTTACTTGCAAGTAAAGAGTCGCTTTTATTCACAAGAGATTACCTGAACGATGAATACTTGCAAGTATTTACTCGCAAGTAAATACTTGCTGTACTTGTATTCACTCGGCCCAGTGGTATGCTAGTGAAATCTTTTACTGAAATAAAAGTTTTTGAACTTGAACACACACACTGACATCCCAGATATTTTCACAGAGAACCTACAAACATAAACGTAGACCCATGTTGAGTAACTTGTGACACTGACAAACAAACAAAATAAACAAGTAGGCCTATAGAAAATTCACAATAAGATATTTCTCATTTAAAATAGCCTAATTTTTATGTTCATTTTGTTGTTACAGTTTCCAAGATGAAGAAAATGTTGTAAATAAATGTAAATATTATTTGTGTGTGTTAGTGTGTAATATAATATGTGTTAAATTGTCGCTTTTGAAGAAGAATTTATTTTGAAGACGAAGACCAGGAATTTTAACACAAGGTATGTTACTAGTTTTAAAATGTTCACAGCTGAAAATAGGCCTACCTGTAAGCTATAATTTAGAATGACATGGAATTAAACTTTTTCTTTCTATACTTTTGTTATTTAAACAGTGTAAACAACAAGTAATAATAGTTAGGATTTTTATGTAATTCATCTTTATTTGGACTTATATAGCTATTTGTAATTTTTAATAATTATTCTAGAAATAATTTTCATTAACATATTTAGACTTATATTTAACATTAAACGGCTACTGTACTTTGTTCCCGCGTAATTTAAAACAAGCTCGGTGATGACAGAAGCAGAAACCCGCGGTCAGATGTTTAGTTCGGATTTCAATTCCGCTGTCCCGTTTCTAGACAGACGAAAAAAAGGCGGTGACGGTCTGACGGCAAGGTCTCGTGAAAAAATTGGTTGGAATGGGGACCATAGAAATTGAAAATTTTAAAATCAAAGACCTCCAAACGTAAACAACCCAACCAATTGCTTACATCCACGAGTAAAGGGGCTGTCCATAAAAAATATTGGCAATTGACATTATATTGTACAAGCACGAATACTACAAGCGTAAGTTAATGGGGAAAAAGGATCAGTTTATGTTAGCATTACAGTTACAGTAAATGGCCATGCTAAGATAAAATAAATAATTAAGCCTACCTTTACCATAGTCATTGGGTCCATGCAGAGTCGGAGAGAGAGGAGCAGAAAATGGTCTAAATCCATCAAACATAATAGTTTTTTTATAAAGAAACTATAATTATTGACTACCGACCTACCACTTGTAGGTTAGTAGTGAATGCTATAAAACCGTACTAAATAATTAATTGTTATAAGCCCATACTACATCATATACATATATACACTAAGTAGCAGATAATCATTGTCCATACCCATTTACTGTACTCCTATCCTGTTTTTGTAATTTTCCTTTTTTCACCAAGGAAAGCTATGTCGTGTTTGTGTTCTTTTTGTTCTTTCCTTCCACATTCGAGCAGCTGGAACTTAATAAACTTGAAGACTTGTGATTCTTGTGAAGGGGGAGGGAAAAGGAAAGGGAAGTGAATGTTTATAAATACTGGTGAATAAGTTAGTTAAGTAGTAATACTAATAGCATAGACAAAAGCTAATAGTTTCTCATTTATTTAGCTGCCATATATTGTGAATAAATGTAAGCATGTTTAATGTATTATTTTAATTTTATTGTAATTTTATTCCGGTTAAGTATTGGCCTTATATTATAGTAGTATGAAATAACACTAGTTTACTGGTAAATCAACTCAAAGAAAAGGTATAGGCTATTTTATAAGTTAAATCTTGGAGTTTATAACTTAGCCTAGCCTATGTTTATAAACCTGTGAAACTTGGATAGGTAGCAACTCTTATCAAACTTATCGAACATCAAAATATCGATTAGATTGATAACCAGGCCTACATCTAGCCCAACCAAAAAACAAACTATCAATACATAACGATGGAGTCGGATATCAAAGTTTTGCCTAGAAACCCCTCATGGTTTTAGCTTAAGTCAAAGAGATGTAAAGCTACTAACTTATATGTTTAATCAGAACATTTATAGGTGTTAATAAAATAAACAACAGTCTGTACTTTATATTATAGGTTTTCCTAGCGGTTTCTTTTTTTATTGCATTCAAGAGTCTTCGTTGTTAATTGCTGGGGATCGCCTGAGATGTCTAAGGTATTTTAGAAGATAGAATTCCCAACTAACCTTTAGATGGTTAAGACATAAGTTAGCTTCAGCTATAACTTTATTTTGTTGGCATCCTTACCTATAAGGCTACTTGCACCATTATACACTTCAATAGAACTTTTTGTAACTTTGTTTGATTATGTTGTAAGGATGTATTCATCTGAGTTAGAAGAGTTGGTAGATGATCCAGGACTGCCTGAGAATCCCATTGATACTAGTGAAGATACCACTTCAAGGGTCAGACTTGACGCTAGCGATGATCTAGATGATTCAACCAATATTGATGATGTAAGTTAACTAGCCTATTGACCTTTTAAGCCCCAAAGGCTGATATTATAGCAATTATTGACATAAAAAACTTAAGCATTATACTAAATACTAGTGTAGGCCTACCTGTTGCTCGAATTTGAGCAATTGCTAAGTATAAAGGGCATTATTTTAAAAATAAAAACAGTCATAATTTCTGATGACTTCAAAATATTTGACTCAAAGATTATGGAAATACTCAAGATGTAGGCCTACATAACAGATCAATATAATTAACAATTTTTGTAAATAGTGTTTTCTGCAAATAACCTTACTCATAGCCGCATTAGGTTTCCAGACACATTATGTGTCCCAAAGCCTAACACGACTCTCTTCCCCATACAGCCCTGAGCGATAGGGATAATTGAGATTCGCTCTAACCTTTCCTCACCCCTTCATGGGTAAGTTTTCATTCCTTTTCTTTCTTAGTTTTGTTTGTTTCTTTTATTAAATTTTAACGCCTGTATGTATCCCTGCCCATGTAGCACAGATGGTTGGGCCAACGTTGGTAAATTGTGGAGCCACACAGTTGGCCAACGGTAGAAATGTCACCTCTTTAAACTGTTTTCCAGCCAACCATTGTCCAACAATGGCCCAACCATCCAAAAATACTGATGCCTAACTAACCATAACACAACTGATATCCAACCAACCGTTTTATTTCACACAAAATAATAAAGATTTAGTACGAAAAGCATAATTATTAGTTGAGTAAATTGATTAAATAGTTCATAAAAACAAATTTTGAAAAAAAGCTAGAACAAAATTTTTTGGCCCAGACGGGTCTCGAACCCGGTTCCTTCGACTTATGAGCCTCTTACCTTACCACTGAGCTATCTGTGATTGTTGAAATAGAGAGTTTTCAAGTGGTGAAAGAGTAGCCGACAGTTGCAATGGTCGCAATACTTCAAACATTTTTGATACTACACAGTATAATATGATTCTGTTAATCTGTTAAGGCATCATAAGTAGTTATTTATTTTTTTTTTTTTTTGAGTTAGAGAGGATACTGGTATTTGAATATAGATTAATTAATTACTGTTAGATTATTAATGCTATTATAATTGACTGTTATATGATTAACTACTCTTTCCCCTTAAATTGTTGCAAATAAGAGAATATTAATTTAAAAAATATTTGCATTATTATAAATATTAAAATTCATTGTTGTAGCCCCGGAACTGTAATATATAAAATATCTGGTTTTACAATACCTTTATCAGTTCCAAAAACTTTTGGAAACTTTTGGAACTGATAAAGGTATTGTAAAACCAGATATTTTATTATAATTATGTTGTGAAAGCTAGATCCAGAGAATGAAAGTCGTGTAAACTCAACTATGGACCATCGTTGGTCCAACAAAAGTATCTTTTGTTGGTCCAACGGAGTGAAAAACGGTTGGACAACGGTTGGCTTGATGTATGATACCCAGCAATGCATATTAATGTATTTCATTAACAATGAACCAATGTTGGTCCACAGTTGTAAATATTGGTTGGCCCAACTACGAGATATACAGTTGGACAACGGTTGGTTGGTTGTGGAAGCTCCAACCAACCTTCGACCAACTGTCCCACAGTTGGCCAACGTTGGCCCAACCATCTGTGCTACATGGGTGGTTTTTCCTATTTCCCTAGCTACTTTTCTAAACGTCTCAATTGTTTTCTTGTCACTCATCATGTTTTATTTTCTCATCTCTAGACCTATCTTATCCAAGACTTCTTCCTGTTCTCTCCTATTTGTCTCATGAAATGAACAATTTATAAATAAGTAACTCGTGATTTTTTTTCTCCACATCTACATACTTCCTCTCTTCCACCATGCCCAAAAAAATATTAATAAACTTGTAATAAAACCATCCTAAATTACATATATACACATAACATAATGTTATAAGAATATTGGATCAGTTATCATTATAAGTTAAGATACTATCAATGTATTAATGATAGTAACTGTAATGCTATCACATTCATTGCATGCACAAGACAATGAATAAAGCGTTGAAGTATATATTTCAACCCAAACATGAGTGAAATATGAGTGTTAGCCTAATTAAGTGAGGTGATCTCTGTAGTGTACCATTGTTACTGACTGAGATCAGCTGTTTCATTAGTCAGGACACAGAAGTAAGATACAGAGGAAACATTCAATGGTACACTTAAGAATCGTGTCTAGCACCAGTTCAGTCGCTTGTGTCTAGTTCAAATTCTATTCATCCCCTTTCGCTCTCCTCTCCCCCTCACCATCACGTCTATAGCACTGACGCTGTAGAAAGAGCCAGTGCGGTATGGTACGTTTGCTGTTGTAAACAATAGCCGTTCGGGCTCTTACTGGCTCGGTACTAATATATTTCCGCCCCACCATTCCCGAGCTAAAAGCGCACAGTTGTTCCATAAGCATGTTTCCTCTGTATATTTTACTTCTCTGTGGTCAGGATCATTGAAAGCCTAATGATCAGGACAGCTGGGTCCTGTTTTGAACCATAGTAAAGTTACAAACTTTTCTCAGGCTTGAACCGGCGACCTTTTGATTACTATAGGCGAGCTCCATAAATACTCAGCTACCCAGTCATCCCTTATTACTAAATACACCTACATCCTTTATTACAAAGCCTGCCACTTTGTAAAATGTGCCAAGCTAGTATAGCCTTTTTAGCAAATTTCCCATATAGGGAATACGCCATTATTATATGTCTCATGGTACGACCTGGACCTGGGACCGATTAATTTTTTTCTGTTTTGAGGTCCCTAGAGGCCATTATAAAAATTATAAGTATATTCTCAGTATTTTAATTTTTTTCAATATATTTAAGTTAGATTATCAATTTATTTTTTTTAATTCCCATGTTATTCTTATGGAGAAAATGAAAACTGTTGTAGTTTACTTGTTTATAAATAACTTCATATGTTGATAAAATTTGGCAAATTTATTAATTTCATCCTATGCTATTAACGTTTGGTAAAAAAAAAAAAAAACAAAAAAAAACACTAAGCTTTATCTTCTTTGTAGCAGCAGACCTAAGCACTCGTTAAATCTAATGTTATTAAAAATTGAGAATAAATTAAAGAAGTATGTCTTATTTTATGGAAATATTCTAGTAAAAATGTAATGAGACAAGCTGAAATTCGCTTAGACTGCAGGTTTGCTGCGGCGGGGCTATTAAATATTTAATTTAACTTAGTTATTTTTTATTACATTTCTTATTTTATCAATAATGCCTTAAATTTTGCAATGTTTTAAAATTTACATTTAACTATTATAACGTAGCCTAATCTATATATTTAATAGGTACACTACTCTTATTTTTGTCATAATTGTTTTGGAGTGGTGGTGCTACCGATCACAATGTCCAAGGTGTCGTTAGAAAGGTCTTAGCATGTAGTTTTGCCATCAAACAAAAAAACTTTCGAATTCCATCAGGGCTCTGCCCCAGTGGCCTTCAAAGTTTCCATGTTATTCTTAAGGAGAAAATGTTTGATTACATTTGAACAGATGAATACTTTGAAATTGACAATAATGTTTGAAACAGCTGGTTATACTAAAATTTTGCACAAAATCAAAACATAACCAAAAAAACGTTCGACATAATGGAGACTATAAGACGTTGACCAGGACGGCCAATAGGAAGAGGCCGACGACCTTTAACCTTTAACTGGTAGACGAGAAAGAAATACAAATAATACTATTGTCGTTGATAGCCGAATATAGCAAGCACCCTTCCGTGTTGGGTTTAAAGTGTGCTCTCCAACAGCTGCCTGAAGATTTCACATCACTGCATAAGCTGTTGATTTTGGAAGACAAGGAGCCGGGTAGGACTACATCGGAAACAGAGGAAAGGAGATATTAGATAAGTGGCAAATGCGTTGGGAGCAGAGTGTTTTATGTTAACCTTTTAAAGGTAAACGTTTGAATATATACCTAACATCAGAAAGAGACTGGAACAAAATTTGGGAGATAGGCCATTATGAAACACAGTTTGCCACAGGACATGGAACATTTTAAGGTGAATTTGTGAAGATTAGATTACTATTATTGGGAACAATAATAAAATCAGGATGGTTCACCTGATTTTATTACTAATGAAACAGGCTGATCTCAGTCAGTAACAATGGTACACTACAGAGATCACCTCACTTCATTAACACTCATATTTCACTCATGTTTGGGTTGAAATACGCTCCCAGGTGTCGTCCTCATCTCAATCGGTAATGGTAATAATAATACTGCGATCTACAAAAAAGCTGGCAAATGTTTGTTTGTGAAGACATGGCAGGGTTTATGTCCATAACAATTTTTATCTTGTAATTTAAACCTCAGTAACTTAGCATTTTTTACTGTAGGCCTATATAAGATGAGAGAATGGTTTTGAATCCTAATTTTCATATCGGGAATGTATTAAACCAACAATTAATTTTGTTGATACTTTTTAGATTGTGTTATGTGTTTACTACCATTCTGAGGCCTTGGCTGCCGCCGTGTACAACACTGGGACATCGGAGGTAATTAATTATATCAATTAAAGAAAACCCTTTATTTTTAACCTCATTCATCGAAGTTTAATTTCCTGGTTGATTGTGATTTGAAGGTTTTATTTTTATTTTGCTCTGAAGGACATTTTACTGATATAATTCTTGTTTCTTTATGACATGTAGCCTTTAAAGATTTATAACGATTAGAATTCTCAAATGACAGAAATTGTTCATCCTTTCATCTAATGAAAATTACTTGTTTTCACATAATTCTTGAAATACAAAGAGATTATAGCCCAATTAATATTTCATGAATTCTCTCTCAATTTTAGATGCAGATTATGTCCAGTGAACAGATTTAGCTCCTGATTTTAAATTGCTCTGTAACCTCTATCAACAGTTTAAACCTAGGTGAGCATAAGAATAAGATAGAATAAGAATAAGAATCATTTATTCCATTGATCTTTTACCAAAGAAATAGGACACGTCATATACATTACAAAAATAATCATCCAAATACAATCAAGTTTCTGATAGGTACATCCAAATAATATAAAAAGTACAATTAATTAGGTATAATAGCTTATTTTAATTAAATTTACATCAAAATTACACTTTATAAAGGCACTTATGCTGTAGAAAGGATTTTGAATTAGCCAATTATAAACTTCTATTTTTGAAAATATTGTAATCAACAAATTTTGCACTATCAGGTAGTTTATTAAAAAAGCGAATTGAGTTAATTTTGAAAGAGTCACCCGTTTTAGCCAATCTATGAGGTTTCATGCTGAGCTTGCCTCCACCCCTAGTATTGTACTCATGAGTGTCAGATCTAAGGGGGAAAGAATGCAAGTTTGACTTGGTGTAGAGTAAAACTTGAAAAATGTACAAATTAATTACTGTTGGAATTTTTTAATTGTATGAAAAGAGGTTTGCAATGAGATAGGGATCTTGCATTCGCAATATTACGAACTGCCTTTTTTTGAATCGTCAAAATATCAGCTACATGAGGGGAATGTCCCCAAACTAGAATGCCATAGAGTATGTGGGACTGAACAGACCAAAGTACGATAGTCTCAAATATTCTTGGTTAACAAATTTTTTAATTTCCATAATAAGCAATCTACTTTTGATACTTTTTGCAAACCGCCTCAATATGATTTGACCAACTTAATTTTGAATCAATGTGAAATCCTAACAGCTTGACAGAATCTAGACTAATTTCCTGCTTGAGACTCAATGTCAAATATTGTGTCTTTTCAAGATTAGAATGTAGCTCATTTGAAGAAAACCAAGCAAGAGCCTGTTCCTCAGCTTCTGCAGTGACCTGTTTCAGGTACTCTAAGTTTTTGTGACTGGCTAGTAAAGTGGTGTCATCAGCATAAATTATTGAATGGATATTGAGATTTTGAGACAAGTCGTTTATGTATACTAAGAAAAAGAAAGGGCCTAAAACAGAACCCTGAGGGACACCGGTCTCTACAGGTTTCATAGCAGAACATTATTTTTAACTGATACATACTGTTTTCTGTCATACAAATATGATTGAATAATTTTTATTGTGCCATCTTCAATGCCATAATATGATAATTTACGTAGTAATACATCAAAAGGAACACTATCAAAAGCTTTACTGAGATCACACAAAACTAGCGAAACCGACTCCTTATTTTCAAATGCATTTAGTGATAAATCTGTTAAGTTAAGTACTGCCGAGGTGGTAGACTTACCAGGACGGAAACCATGCTGGCATTCAGAAAATAAATGTTGGGACTTGAAAAAATAACTAAGTTGATTGTACATTAGAGATTCAAATATTTTAGAGAATATCGGAATAATAGAGATAGGTCTGTAATTTTGATGTAAATTTTTATCTCCTTTTTTAAAAACTGGAATCACTTTAGATATTTTGAGCAATGAGGAAAAGTATCCTTCTGACATACATTTGTTAAAAATAAAAGCAAGTGGCTCACTTATTATATGGATGGTTTGTTTCAGTATTGTGTTAGACAGCCAATAATAATCCATTGAATTAGAGTTGGAGAATTTAGATACTACTTGTATTACATCAGTTGAGGAAATTTCTGACCATGTGAACATTGTTGTGTTTTTTGGAATACTACTCAAGAGTTCTACTGGATTATTGGGACCGAGATTAGTTCCTTTGCTTAACTGATTTATTGAGTCTATAAAGAAATTGTTAAATTCATCCGGATCTAAATTGACATCAGAACTGTGAGTTGGAGAAAACTCACTGCTTATAACTTTCCATGCAGCCTTGCAGGAATTTGAGGCATTGCTTATATACTGCTCTACAGCAATTTTTTTAGCTTGCAGAAGTTCCCTTTGATATAATCTTTTTTGTTGCAAATAAACATTATAAGCAGCCTGACAGTGCTCTGAACCTTGCTTAAGCATATTCTTATAAATTGTGTACAGAGTTAACATTTTACTTTTTGTTTCTGCTAATGAAGGAGTATACCAATTAATAATTTTGGATTTTTTACATGCAACCTTATCAGTTACTTTAATCAAAGGAGAACAAAAATGCCATAAATTAACATACTTCTTAAAAAAATCATCAAATAACGTCTGAACATTAATTTTATTTTGTTTAAAATCATCAATCATTTGCCAATTTTGTTTTTCTAAATTATATTTAAATAAGTCAACATTTTCATTTTTTTGTAATCTAATATATGTACTGCCAGGTTGTATTTACTTCTGAGAGAGTTGGTAGCAGAATACACATTAAATAAAAGTGGTACATGATCAGAAAAACAGTGATCTCCCAATGTGATGTCAAACAGATTCCTATTAAAATTGACAATTATGTTATCTATACAGGAGTTATTGCGAGTTGGTTGATTATTTGAAGGAAAGAGATTAAAAGATCGTAGAAGGTTTAAAAATCTTAGGCAAACTGTATTATTTTCACATCCAACACCCATTTCAATGTTGAAATCACCAGCAATAATAAGTTTTTGATCATGTTTTAGTATTTTTTTCAAGGCATGTTCAAATTCAGTCAGGAAAATATCAACATCACCATTTGGAGATCTGTAAATACTTAAAATAGTAACATTGTTATCGAGTAATTTAACACAACAACATTCAAAATTCATCTCAGAGTAAAACTGTGTAACATCAATAACTGAATATTTAATTGAATTTGAAATATAAATTCCTACACCACCATTTTTCCTGGCTTTTCTACAGACTACAGTTGCAGGAATAAAATTTTTAGGAATAAAAACATTAACATTATTTTCTTGTAACCAATGCTCAGAGATACACATTAAGTTGACATTCTTATCAATGCATAAATCTTCCAACTCTAAAATTTTGTTTCTAATACAACATACATTAACTTGCATTAGCCTAAAAAACACACTTTGCTCTGCTTTTCACTCTCACTTTGTTGACCACTTATCACTGGCGATATAGGCAGGCAGTCTTGAAGTGCAGCAGCATAGCTCTCCAGGTGGTGACCCCTCACTTTGGGTGTCGAAGAGTGGCAAGTATCTGTATCGCTTGTCTGGTCACGTGCAGTTGTGGAAGATGGAACCGGGGAATAGTTGTCTGCTGGTAAAGTGATATTTGCTCTAGTTGAGGTAGCTGGGCCGTTTGTGGTGTTGAGTAGGGTGTTAGTTGAAGTCTGTGCAGGAGCCAATTCATTTACTAGCTTATGAAGTTCACTTGTAAAATCTCTGTGTGACAAGCCATTTCTTAATTTTCTAAAAGACTTTTGAAAGTAAGAAACTATAGTAATTTTTGCTAGAGTATGCTTTTGGAATTTAATTATATTGGACATAAAGTCTTTTGGAAGCACATTGTCTCTCACACACCCAATGGGAGAGCATATTAGGTGTTTCAGGTTTCTCTTTTTGAAGTCTTGTGTTGGATGCTCAAAAGCGGTTTCATAGTCCTGACGGGTGGGCTTGCCATAATACTTGTCTTTAGTAACAAGACTGTACACAAGAGCTCCAGATTGACTTTCCTGCAGTGTAAGGTGGTCTGTGATGCACTGGTCAGCAGAAGGCTTCTTGAAGTACTTAGCAAACACAACTGCTACACCTGCCGTCATACGTCGCTCATCATTAAAGTCGCCAGAAATGCTGTGGGCAAATCCAACAGATCTGTCCTCTTGAAACTGCTCAATGACAGAAGACATGTGTGTCTCAATAATCCTTATATTTGAGTTGCTGGCTGTACTGTCCACAGTAGTGCTGGGAGGGCGTGATTTTTCTTTGTTTTTTTCCAAAAACCTGTTTAAGTTTGAAATAAATTTGTTTCGCTAATTTGTACTTGCCTGTGCTATTCAAGTGAAGACCTTTACGGGTGAAGTGATTTCTGCTCAAAATATCCAAGTCAACCAGGTGTACCTTATTAATTCTATCCACTAGCTCTCTTATGTAATTGTTAGCAAGACAAATTTCATCATGAACTTCATGCTTCTTGCCTACATCAAATCTTGGTGGTACTGTAGTTACAATGAGAGTTTTATTTTGGCTAATACTCTTGATTTTCTCTTCTAAGGCTGAGTATATAGGAGAGAGATCTTTCCGCAGTGCATCATTAGTTCCTGCAATGAGGATAATTACATCATCATTGGACTTTGAAAGCCGCGCTGTTTCTGCCACTTGATTAATGCATGCATTCGGCATAACTGTTCCAACAGCAGTGATCTCATCCTGATTAATTTGGTTAAGTTTGTAGCCTACATTTCTACTTTGGCTATCACCATACACAGTCACTTTAACTTTATTTGTAAACACCTTTTCAACTTTATCTTTGTTATGTTGAGGTTTTTTTATCTGAGGTTTTTTATTTAGGCTAACACACTGATTATTTGCCTTTGATAGACTAGGAACATTTTGAGACAAGGTATCGAATTTGTTCTCGGTTACAATGGGACTGGATCTAATGAAAACTTTAGACTTAAATGTTTTTTGTCTTTTTTCTTTTGTCCATTTTTGTTTGTTTAGGTTGACATTCTCAGGATTAGGTGCTACAATAAGTGGTGGTACATGGTTTGCGTTAGGGTTTTGCTGGGTCAAGTTACTCTTTATTTCCTTTTTTAATAGAAGCTGTGTTAATGTATCTCTATTTATCCTTGTATATTGGTCATTGTAGATTATAAGTGCTAGCTGTGCTCGTTTTGTCAAGATATCCGATTCTGTAAATGTTGGAACTGATAAATCTGTTTCCAGTTTATAGTTGGAGGAGGCAAAAAGCCCAGCATTAATTTTTGAAGATATGCACTCAGCAGTCAGGAGCATGTGTATTCCACAATCTACACTGTTGGTTTGTCGAGCTGTCCTTACATAAGCCAAGGAATTATTTGCGTCGGCATTGTAAAATGTAGCCAGCCTTTCGTATATACACTTAGCATGCAGGTGGTTAAGATTTTCTAGTGAGTCAAAATGATAAAATTTGTCTTGATCCTTATCCCACAGAAGAAGGCTCCAGTGTGTCCCTGATCCCCCAATGCTCTGAACCTTAGAAGAATCATTTACAGGGATGAAGACAAACTTTTTATTTTCCAGATTTTGGGGTAAAAGAATTTCCCCAAAATTATCAAGGGTTTTAATAGCTAGTGTTAATACTGGACTGATGAAATGTACATCCTTGTGTGCAATATTGTTGTTGAAGATGTCAAAAACAATTTGAACTGTGTCATCTGTTACCCACTTGGACTCCAATAAAGCCAGAGAAATGTCCTTTTTATTCAGCTTATTTTCTTGTGGATTGGAATTTAGGATTGATTTATTGAGGCTAAAACCCTTTGGTGAAATGGGAGTTTCATCCGCTTGTGTATTAATTGTCTCGGGTGTTGTCTCAGTTACACTAGGTGTAATGCCATCACACGGTACCAGTATTTCATCACTATTCTCTGTGGAGGATTGTTTGGCAGAGTGTATGGACTCACATGAGCTAGACAGATTCACTATAGTAACTGATGAGGAATTACTTTTATTTATTAAAGAGTTGTTCTTGTTCAGACTTAGTTCAATTTCCTTAATAGCTACTAAGAAATGTTCTTTATTTTTTAGCTTTGGAGTCCCATATCTGGTTTTATTCTCCCTGTATAAACATACATCTATTTCTTTTGCACATCCTTCCTCACCTGTTCCATAGAAAGTAACATTGTATCGAGGGGTTTTGTATTTACAGTCAATACCTTTTACTATGGCTGGCCAATGAGAGTGCCCTTTCAGTTTGGCAAAAACTCTGTCACCAATTTTGAATTTTGTTTCTTTTTTTCCATCCATAATTAGGTTGGGTGGATTATGTCACACTTTTACATACATAAACCATCGAACTATCAAGCCATAACAATATAATAACAATATAGCTACAATATATAATATATTGTGATACCCAATTTTAAATTATAAAGAAAGTTACTTTTGGTTATAATATTAAAGGATGAGGTGGCTACTCAGTTCACCACCAAATTGAGCAAAAAATGTCCATCACAATAAAGTGTGACAAATAGGAAGTTAAGTTAATATAAAATTAATAAAACAATAGAGATAAAATCTTCAATTTAAGCTGAAATATTAAAGGGCCAAAGTCAACAATGAATGTTCATAGTCCAACTGGAAGTTCCAGCATATTGTCATTCACCAGAGTCCCCTTATCACTCAGTATTTCCCTCTCACTCACTCCTTGTGCACAACCACTGTTCCAGTCAGTTGTTCCTTCAACTTGAAACTAGTTTCTTGAACCAGTTGTTTCTTTTCATGCAGTTTTATACAGGAAATAACTACTTTGGTCAGATTTATTAAAAATATTGCAGTGTGTTATTTTAGAACAAATCAATTTGAAATTTTGAATCAAAATATTTTTTTTTATCCTCTATTAAATATATACTAGTGTACATGTTGCTCGAAATCGAGCAATTTAAAATAAGTACAGGAGTTGAGGAGCTACAAATAAACAAATTACTTGTTTGAAAACTAATAACAGTCATAATTTCCGATGATTTTAAAAGAGTCAACCAAAAGATTATTAACTGATAAAAATACTCACATTTTACATAACAGTCATATTCCAGTTTAAATGGTTAATGTTTAACTATCAAACTGTCCATTCCATGGACGGGAAAAGGTAAGCTAACAATTTAAGTCAACGTAAAAAGGCTGCCAGCTTTTATAATGTACCATACCTAAGTTATTTAGCCAATTTGTAGGTGTAGGGTGTAGGCTACTTTAAACTCTACAGAAAAGAGTTAGGTAAATACTGGCAGAACCCTGAAACGGAGTTATTTATCATAGGCATACTCATATGCCAAATCCTTAAAATAAAAATTCAATAATTAATAGCTTATATCATTAAACACAAACCAACATCCAAAACTATACACATTTTTAATAAAACATAGATAATTTACACATTGACTGTTTACAATTAACAACATGTGTTCTTCTTCAGGCATTTGACAGTTCTGGTTGTTTACATTTAAATATCAAAGCAAATGTAATATTTAATTTCTGACAACAGCTGGAGTTTCAAAACAATGTTTGTTTTCCATGTTAATCTTATGGAGAAATACGAAAATTTAAAGGGCCCCAGGGCCTCACTCTCTAATTATTTACCTAAAAAGAAAGTTTCCTGCACAACTTCACGTTACGCTCTTTCCAATGACACCAAAAACATGTCAATCGGTTCAGTAGTTTCGGAGGAGTAATTGTCACAAAAATCCTGCTTGCGTATTAAATAAGTATATAGATTCACAAGGAATAGTGCCAAATCTATCTATATATTAATAGGCAAGCATGTTTCTTTAAAACCTTTTTTCTCAGCTCGTGTGCATCGCAGGGAAAATCTACGCATACCGTTAGAAAGATATTTTTCTGTAGGTGTGCAGAAACCCTTTATAAATTTAAATAGGCTCAAAGATAAGCACAAAAAATGAGTTTAAAAATTTGAAAATATTAACATGGATCTTATGCGTTGCCATGCTGGTAACGAAAATAACAACGAAATATAAACAGAAAACCAAAACAAATGGAAGAAACTCAAATCACATGTTTTATTTACAGTGTGGGGTGAAAATAGATAAGTGAGTACATTACGTATTTTTGGTCGAGTTTCGACCACTGGACGACCTCTCGTACTAATTATTAAGTGAGCAGTATAGCTAAAATGGTTCAGTGAAAATCCATGTGATGGGTCCACAGAAACATAGGTTATTCTTGACTCTTGATTCTTGATTCCATTGTTGAACTTAAAAGGTAACGATCAAAAACATTGTTTAAAAAGAAAAGTTAAATGTGACAATATATTTTGATATTCGCTACAAAATTCTAATGTAAAATGAGTCTTATTGACATTATCGTAGTGAACATATTTTTTTTAGCTAAATCATAGTTGTGTAAAATTATGATAAAAGTTCATTGAAACCATTCTGTAAAATGCATCATTTTAAATACAGCCACGTCGTGACCAGTTCGTCACTGTCGCAGCCGTTCCTACTGAAGGTCCACGGCCTTATCACTGGGCAGGATCTGTCAGTTACGCCGTCTGTTGATCCTCCTACCTACTCTGAAAGACTGCACTTCATACCTGCCAAGGAGTTCCGTAAGATACAGTTTAACAAAGCCATAAACATTATGCCAATGTATAATAATATCTTTAAGAGTCTATTGCATTTTTTACTTTCTTCCCCAATACCATGGTATGGAAAAAGTATTGTTTTCATCAAAATTTTAAGCGAATTTCTATTTGTCTGGTTAGATTTTTACTTAAATATTTCCTTGAAAATGTCAGTTTTATTCTCTATTTAAAAAATATTAATTTCAACAAGTACCTACTTGGTTTTCTGCCACAGGGAAAGTAATAGTGTTTTTTTTTTGTAAAATGTTTGATAGAAGTGTAGGTAGTATCAAAATAAATTTGAAAAATGTATTTTCTTCTTCTATAATTGTTTGCGCTGCAAATCTTGGATTTCCCAAGCGTTGCCAAAGGCTGTGATACAATGCTGTGTCTTCTTTACAACAGTAACATGTTTCATAGGCTACACTACCTGTAAAAGGAGTGTGCTGGAGTTGAAACTTCCGATGGAACTTGAAGACGTCTCAGAGGAGGACAGACACACCTACATCATGTCTCAGATAGACCTAAGCTCGGAGGTAAAGTGGAGAACATATGTTTAGTAGATTTTATCGAGTTTAATGTATGTTTTGCATATTTAGTAGACAAATTCAGGAACATAATTCATCTCCTGTGATGTTTTTTGTAAGGAAAATGTAGTAATCTTGGAAAAATTATCATGCTGGCAAGAACAAAACTGATGTAAAGATAATTTGGGCTGATTCACAAAAGCTCACATCTACTACAGATGGCTACTCGAATGTTTAACAGAACCTTAAAATCGTTTTTGGATTGGATAAAGGGTTGGCTACGTCTGGCAACAGTTTAGGCATAGCAATGATATAATTGAAAGAGTAGGTCTGTAATTAATTACAAGTAAACGTGGTATAATTAAAAGTTTTATAACAAAATATTGTAACATTTTTAAAATTATAAAATACCACTTAACAATATGCCTTGACTAATACAAAGAAGAGATTAGACCGCTGCTGAAGAATTCTCATATCATATGGTTAATCTTTTGCAAAGGTTTGGTGTCGATCTCAAGAATATTTCATTCGAGCCTTTGTGCTCTTCTCTTCATTACTCTTACTCACCAAGGGAATTTAGGGTAATTTAGATAATTTTGTAAGAGTACTAGTTCCGCACTGCAGACAAACTCTTTCTCGGCTTATACTCTTCCCATAGTCAAAAAAGTATATTAAATGTGTTATTTTTAAACTCTGCAACATTTAATGGCTAGAAATTTTACCACTATAATACCAACATTAAAGGACATACTGTATTTCAAATCTTATATTTTAGGATTTAAAAAATGAGTGATGTAAGACTTTATACTTTAGATTATTCTCCCTGCAACTCTTCTTTAGTTAAACCTGAACCTATAATCTATTATCTATTATTATAACCCCCTGTGTTATTATTGACAGGGTCTTGTGGCGGCAATTGGAGGGCTTTTGTATTTCTTGCAGCGTTCTCTGACCAAAATCAGACTAGTTGCTTCAATAGAGATGCCCATTCTAAGGATTTCATATATTTCAATGTAAGTTGATTAAAATTTGTACGTACGAGTCAGTAATGAGTGTTTTTAGTTAGCTCTGAATTCTTCTTTATTGTAACTTCATGCTTTATTGCTATATTATGAATTCAACAAATGCAAAAAAAATATTGCCAAAACTTCAACCTCTTCTCGATATTATAGTCAGAGTTTTGAACAATTTAATGTTGAGGTATTTGATAATTTTGTTGTCAGGCAGTTGTCAAACTCGTACAGACAAAGTGTACTTCTCATATTAAAACTAGTTGAGGTTCGGAGGAGATTTTTAATGCTATTAGAAAATAACCTAATTTCGAGAACAAAAAATTAATGACAAAATAAAATAAAGACAGAAGGATAATAGTAAAATAGCCTTTTGACCAGTTTCAAAAACCAATTTGATTGCCAAAGGAAAAAACTACTGATATTTAAGATGGACTGATCATGTGACAATGAGGGGGACAAAAACTAAAACAAATAGAGAAGAAGATCTCCTGGAGCATGAGAAAAGGTGGAAAAGATTAAGTAAGCAGGTTAACTGGTGACGTAAAACATATCTATGTAAAAGGTCATTGGAGAAGTAAGTAAATAGATTTAATAACAGTTGTTTTACGACTATCCCCTATAATAAACAGGAATGCGCCAACCAATTCAACTGTAGTAGCTTTTCACTGACAAAATGAGAATGTTTTATAATAAAAATCTTTGGAACCTTGAAACCTGGAATGTAGCAACCGAATTCTAGGTACTCACTCATTGCTTCTTTTATTTTCAGGAAGGACGTAGTTTGGATTGACAATGAGACCCTGCATGCTCTCAACATCTTCTCCCCGGGACTGCATCCGTCCTCGTTCAAATGGTCATCCAAAGCCAACGAAGGCTTTTGCGTCTTCTCCCTCCTCAACCATTGTTATTCCACTGTCGGCTCCAAACACATGAGGTGACCTGTAAACTTGTAAATACAATAACTTGTAACACAATAAGCTGTGAGCTTGTAAACTGGTCATTGTTATTGTCTAAGCCAGTGGGGGAGCGAGCTAGTATATAAGTATACTGCGGGACTTTGGTTCCTGAGGTCCCATGTTCAGATCTCATTAATGGATATAAAAAAAAAGAAAAAAAAGTGAAATACAAGTGATAATGCTTCGACCCCTTCTAGGTCCAGCCTGAATTAATGGGAAAAACTATTCCAGGCTAGAAACTTGAAAAAAATAAAATAATATTGTTCAAGTTATTTGAAGTTTCTAAAAAAGAATCATTATTATCATCGGAAGTTTTGGCCAGTAGGCGTGGCAGTGGGCAGGGCTAGTGCCACCATCTTGCCACCAAAATGTTCTATATTCAGAGTATACAAAATCAACTTGTATATTTTACAAAGTTTCATTTTTGTTGTATTTTCAGAGTGATGCTGTCTCAACCAACCAAAGATATCAATGTGATTAAGAAGAGACAACAGGTCATTGCTTTCTGTTTGAGGTCAATCAACGAGCAGACCGTCAAGTCCTTGGCAGACTCTATAGTTAATGTCAAGTCTGTAATGGTAAATACAAGGTGGACGGATTTGCATCTTTAGTAATCTATGTATTTTTGCCCTTATTATATTCTCCAAACCATTTAACACAGTCTTATTACACTGTTGTGGGCATAATGTATTTGTTTATTACTCGAACAACTATTTTTTTATCCCTCCAGGTGCATTACTCGAGACCCCTTCCAGGTTGGGCTACAGTTATATTGTTTTATCCAATTTATGTTTTTGCGAAGAATGGCAGGTGATTTTATGGCAGATGAACATAGTATGTTTGTAGATTTTGTGGATGGAAAGTGGACATTCCTGCCGATTCTGTAGACATTTTTGTTGGTGTTAGAACAGCTGATAGCTGATTCAGGACACTTTTGGTACTACTTACCGGTGCTCTGCAGAAGATCTGTGACCTTGTATATTGCATACTGTAAATAAACATAACCCAATTATTTCTTATAACTTTTCTTTGAAATAAATCACGTCATCAAAATCAATTTCTTTTATTTTTCAAATTAATTGCGAAGCATTTGGGAAGGGTAATATCTTTAGAATCAAAAGTGGTTTTCAACATCAATCTCGAACAATAATGTATTAGATTAAGTAAGATTTTTTTTGTAACTACTTTTGTAATTATTTCTCTTTTATTTTATTTTCAGAAAATCCTAACACGAATGACCAACGCTCAAGCTTCAGTGAGTCAGTGGAAGACTTTTTACAATGTAAGAGATTTTCCTCAAGTAATCTCTGTACTTTACAAACAAACCTATCAATAAATATAGGCTAAAGGGTGAATCAGATGTGTAACTTACTGACTGACTCACTGATCAGGTATACATATGTTACCCACTTCTGGAATAGCTAGTGATCTGAAATTTTTTGTGTAGGTCTGTCTTAGTCTGAAACCCCCCAGAAAGTCCACAAATTTACATTTTCAAATCACAAAAAATCCCCCTTTTTTGAGGAAAACAGTTTTTTTTACTGCTATAGATTGAAAACGGTACGAGCTAGCAAAGATTTGAAAGAATTTTCATAGTCAAATTTCACATTAGTCAAAATTTCACATGTGTGGGATTTTCATAGTGGAATTAAATTTTATACAAGACACTCTTAAGAGTTTTTCGAAAATCGCAAAAAACACCCTACTTCTAACATTTTTATATTGTCTTGGATTTCCGATGTACTTTTAATTTTTAAATTACTTTTGTGACATATATTTGTGCTTTTAATGATACCAACATTGAAAGAAAAGTGCCTAAAGTGACATTTTAAAATTGTAACCCTCTATAAAAATTATTTATGGTGGATTTTCAATTAAAAAATTTAGTTTTTTAATGCTTGTTGGGCCAAACCGTTGTGTACGGATGGTCTGATTCACCCTGTATTGTATGGGTTTCAAACTAATCTTGAAATGATACAATAATGACCTGTTTCATAAAAGTATTGGATACATGTAGTAAGATTTTGCCCCATGATGCAAACGCTGAGTCCTCATTTCACTAAACTTGAAGTATTATAGTAGGAATAGTCTTCTTTATTTTCAGCCAGGGGGGTTTTGAACTCCAGGATTCAAACATTTCACTTGCTGTATGGTTAACTAAGGTCCCTTTCTATAAAGATTAAATTCCACCAAAAAAGTCACAATTAATTAGGCCTATGTAGGTGATTTGTAAATAATCTTTTACACTTTTTACCTGACTTTATAAATAATACATACGTACATAAATGCAGTCTTCTCCACGACCTTAGAGTCAACGACCCTGGGTAATACAGACTACTATCACGCTGGAGGTTTAAATGAGTACTGTCTTCCTGATGGATCCAAATGTTGATTGATGAGGATTATGGGTAGGGATGGATCCACAATAGGGGCAGGGCAGTGGTTGGTTGTAATATTGTACATGTGGTGTAAACATTTTTAATAGAGTGAACTTAACCTGTCAGTTACATTTTTGTCTCTGAATGCAGAGGATGTTGTTTAAATAAACACATCTAAGATAGATAATTTTGATAATACTAGTCAGAATAATTTGTAAATATTTTGTTGATTTTTTGTATATCACTAATATTTTTTTCCTGGTTCAGTTCATAAAACAAGTAAGGCATGCCTTATAGAATCTTAATTCATTCCTCTTTTTTCAGACAATTTATAACGCTGTACTAGTTGGGGAAGTGTGCAAAGCGAACTCTACTGACATCATATTCTTCAGAGAGGTGACAAATAAAATAAACATTATTTTGATTTAATTTTACTTGTTTTTTTCATCACTCAAATATTTTTGAATTATAAGAAAAAATTTGTGAGGTCTTCACTTTGAGGTATTCGTGTGTGTAAGTAGAAAATACCCAACGCAATGCTGTGATATTTATTGCAATTTTTATTTCAAACTAGGAAAAAATTAGTTTGTTAACAGTAGGTCTATTTTTCCCATATTAATTTATATTCAAATTCACAAATCGGTAAGCATTTAACTATCTTGTCACAGAAAACATACTACTATAACCCAGAATGCCAACCGCATAATAAAAAGCGTTGAGTACTTGGAGAGAGCTTTGCCTACGAATTGACAGGCAAAGCTCTCTCAAAGTACTTAACGCTTTTTTACTATGCGGTTGGAATTCTGGGTTATAGTAGTATGTTTTCTGTGATCTTGTCGAGCAAACAGGTCTCGATTGATTTTCTATTTCTGTAATGTCTTGTCTCACATTATTTGTTTAAACTGCGTAATGAGCACCAGAAAATCTGCTCTTTACCACAACCAGCTGAGAGAGAGTGGATGAGGTGGTAAGCGAGTTTGCTTCACTCCACCTCCATCATTGTTTTTACAAACTGAAGAATTAGTTTAGTCTGCTTGCCACGGAAATATACAAATATTTATTAGCAAAATTCTTATGTAAGGAAATAAGGATTACTGTTTTAGGGAAAAAGAATTAGGTCTCATGGTAAGACCTGGACTTCGGACCGATTAAATTCTTCATTTTGATGTCCTCAGTGTTTATTTGCATTTCCAATCACACCAAAATTTTTATTTTGAATTAAATATAAATTTACTATTTACCATACTATACCTTTGATTGTTAACTTATATTTTATTCCCATTTTTTACTCCCCACTCAATTGTTGAAAAAATTGATATAATTAGCGCCCACTTAGAGATGTAATTAGTACCCAGATTTTCTACTAAATTTTTAATACCACAAAAGAGTTTTAATCTTGCTCCAAAAAAAGATATACAGACTGTCCTAAAAGTCCCGGACCGGTTTAATATATTCTAAACGTCAACAGATAATTCAATAAGATTTGGTACATCAACACCACACCTAAAAATCTACCTTTTTAAGGAAATATAAATTTTCTGCCACATCATGGGGACGTCCCGTAAGGAGTCAGAAGAAAATCTTAAATAGAAGCATAGGTTTGGATGTACATAAAATTAAAGACCTTTACTAGCAGAATATAATGCCACAAATTTGAACTCAAACGGATAACTGATTAAAATTTGGCAGCCGTTCAAAGATTTCTTGAATCTGCCATTTTGAATCTTTGAACGACTGCCATTTTTTACTGAGGCTTTCTTTTGAGGTTGAATTTACGGAATTGTAATCTACTAGTGAAGACCTTTAATTTGATATCGACCTATGCTTAGGTTAAAAATTTTCTTCCGATTCCTAGGGCTGCGCCCCTGAGGAAGAAGCGTATATTAGTAATACAAATTAAATGAATCTTTGAACCACTGTCATTCTTGACTCGGTTGTCCGTTTGAATTCAAATTTGTGGCATTATCTTCTGCTAGTAAAGACCTTTAATTTGCATTTCAACCTATGCTTCTATTTAAGATTTCCTTCTGACTCCTTGCGGGACGTCCCCATGATGTGACAGAAAATTTACATTTCCTTAAAAAAAGTAGGTTTTTAGGTGTGGTGTTTATGTACCAAACCTTATTGATTTATCTGTTGTCGTTTAGAAAATATTAAACCGGTCCGGGACTTTTGGGACAGACTGTATATATAACTTATTTTCCAAACTATTCAACTTTATAATTGTTGATATATGTTTACAGATAGCAGACTGTCTGTGTGACTCAATATACCTGATGTCTCACTGTATTAACAGAGTAATGGACTTTGAAAAGTCTGTCGTTCAGGGCAGGATAGTCGTAAAAGAAGGGATCTCTGATGATTTGGACAAACGTAAGTATTTGGTCTTTAAATGTGAATTTAAGCCTTGTATCGTTGTTAAATAAGATTGGGGTAAGTGTGATCATGTACTTATATTATACCATTGAACAAGTTGAAGGAATCTATAGGTAAGCTAGAACAAATGCTCTCCACTGCACAGGATTCTGGACCGTCTGCTTTATTTATCTCCAGCTACTGCCTTCTTCTTGTTCTTTTTCAAGTGATTTTCTGCAAGCCGTTTTTTGTCCTTCCAATTTTCCTGCTTTCTTACCGGTTCCAATCCAGAGTTTGCAGTTTGTTCAAATTTTCTTAAGGTGTTGCCTATCCATCTGTATTTTCTTCTTTTATGATTTCAACACCGTCGATTTCGGATCTACTCCATAACTCTTTATCTCCGACTGGATCTCGGATGTTAATAATTTGTTAGAGACATCTATTTATACAGTTGATAAGCAGAAAATCATATTCTGGGTGATTGACCTTGCTAACCCGTTTCCCACCTAAGGATTGAAATTTTCATTTATCTTTTTATAAACATTTTACGTTATGTGCCAATTCTACATTTATTCTTTTCCTAGCCACAGAATTTCAATTAAGTAATGGAATTAGGACCTAACCTAGAACTCTCATTGAGCCTTAAAAAAAGTTGCGTTTTAATCTGCTGAAGTTTACGCCAGAGTTTAGGAGTGCTGCTGTCGTAGTATTTTAACGTGCGGGTGGTATAATGCTTTTTAAAAATCACAGCAGCAGTGTTCTTAGATTCTGGAGTAAACACTAGCAGCAATACGACGTTTTTTTTTTTTTGCTCAGTTAGACTTTAGGGTTAGATCTGTATTCTGTGATTATAGTTTTTGATTATGCTTTATATTCTATGTTTGCTTCAGATGTGATTTCAACCTCACAGTTTTGGGTGTCTTGCATTACAGAATGACAATTACAAATAACTGGTGATTCGGTGGCTCAGTCACTAGCACCACAGACTTCGGACCCAAGACAATGATGTCTTGGGTTTGGATCCTAGTATCTGCCACGACTTTTTATCAGTACACTTCACCCTTGTACTGTACCAACACACACCTCTTGCTTTGTTGGACTTGTTCCACGCACAGATCCGTAGTCTATGTGGACGGGCATATGCAAGGTCGCCCCCAAAGACTCTGCCAACTTCCTTAAAAAAATAATAGTTTGCATAGCAAGTAGGCCTAGCACTATGTTTTTAGCAATTTGTTATGAGAACCTCAAATGTCTCATGCATGTGAGTTTTTATTTTCAAGTAACAGAAAACCGATCTCGCTTGTGTACTCTGATGGACCAGCTGGCAGAGGTAGAACTGCAAGATTTGCCAGAGTATGTAGAGTCTTGCTCCCTCAGCTATATCCCAGAGTCCGGATTTTTCCTGGCTGTTCCGCTCTGGCGTCCGGACCTTACAAATGAAGACTTGGAACTGCCTGACATGCATTTTCAGGTAAATAATAGTTCTTACTTTAAAATTCAATGTTGATGGCTTTTTGCTGTTTTAACCCTTCATGGCCAAAACGCCAATATACTGAGAAACGTAACAATACCTTAATTTAGATCCAGGACCTACGTAGAACTACAAGAGGGTTTAGGATTGGCCAGTAATGAGGTAGATCAGGCTGACACATTCACTACCAGGTGGCAAGAGATCATCAGTGTAACGTCTTGTAGCGAAAGTATTAATAACCGAGTGGTCTACGACATGGTCCTCCTGTTAAGGAGTCAGGACTGTAGATTGAGGAGTTTAAATTCCGACTCAAGTCATGGCTTGATGTGCGACTCATAAGAAATAAACTTGTCTGTAGCAAAGTTCCACCTACAATCAAGAATGGATGGCTCAGTTGATTTTGATAGGATGAATAAACTCCTATCAAAGCACCCCTCATCAGGATTTGAAAACTGTTTTTAAACTAGCCGTTTCAGTTCAGTTCTTAGAATTGACAAGATTCACTTAACAGCATTTTTTTACAACACGATCAACAAATCAATGAGGTTCAAAGATTGAGAGAAAAGAAGTAAAATCGTAATGCTTAGAACTTCAACTAATCAGCTGTTTACCAATTTAATTGTATATGATCGGTGCAATTAGTGGTTGGTAGAATGAGTCGTTCACTCACCAACCACCAACAACTCAAAAACACACACTGGGGTGAGTGGTGGTTGTCACTGTCAGTGGCAATGAGAGGTTATAAACGTAAACATAACCTCTCATAGAAGTTATGAGTAGCCTATAGTTATTGTTAGTACAGTCATTTGAACAACAGTCGTAGGTAAAGAAGTCAACTCACGTAGTCTTAACAACACTCGTAGAAGTTTTTAAGGCACTTGTCTTTTTAAGACTCGTACCTTAAATTTCTACTCGTGTTGTTAACACTATCATCACGCAATCGTTGCGTAAACTACTATTTATCAACAGTATATTATATGGAATTTAATTTGCTCTCACTTTTCAGTTTATTAATGAAGACTCAGCCCACTACAAGAGTTCAAGATGTCATGGTAAGATAAACTTGTTTGGTTATTGTGCAATAACTATTTCATCTTTGTTCTGTTGCTATGATAAATGCCAAAGCCCAACCATAACTTTCACCATTGAAAGAAAATGTGGTTGTAGGTTTTAAGAAACACCCTACATTTTACATACATTACACACAGGGTTACATTTTACCCTATCTGTCGGTTAAAAAAAAATTAAACTGGTTGTAGGGTTGGGGTTAGAGGACACTAAGGCTGTTCTCATGATGGTAGACACTGTATGCTACTACATGGGAGCGACTTCAGTCCCCGAGGTCTCAGGTTCAAAACCTGCCAATCACAAATGGATTTTAGCTGTTTGACAATGCTACAACCCTTTAGGCCCAGCCTGGAATAATGTGTGAAATAGTTCCAGGCTAGGTTCAAGTGCCCTAGGATGGTGAAATACTAATTTCTAGTATCACTACCATAGGTACTTTGACTATAAAAACACCACTTTGTACCCACTATCATCATCATTTCCACCACAATCACAATCTTTTCTCTTTATTTTGACTACACATTACATTTTTCACAGTTAATTATACAGTTGCAAGCATAATAAATTCTTGATTATCTTAACACAAATTACTCATTCTACACATACACATTTATTGCTTTTGTAGACTTTTCTCTTTGTGTGTGGCGAAATGCGGGTGAATGAATGTTAATTAAGATAACTTGGCCCAATATATCTTCCACCAATCACCTCTAAATCACTCACATTTCCTGTTGCTGCTCGAACCATATTCAAGTGAGCCTAACAACCTCGTCAAAGTGCAAAATAATACCTCAGCTGCATATCACAGCCAGCTTTTATGTTCCTTTAATACATCAAATAAATTAATAGTGAACAGAGATATAAGTGGACTAATCTGATTTCATCTACAAGTAGCTAGTGAAAATTCTAATATTAATTACTCTTAAATAAAAATTTACTGGAAAATGGACCACGAGAGGCTTTGTAAACTTAATATTCTACATCTACATAATCAAATACTATCTCATTGCCCTAGTCTACACCCTTCTCCAACCCCTAATATTTTATCTACTCATGCTAAGGCTATTTATCCGATTGAAGATGTCCACCGCAGGTTGCTACCACACACTACTGACTGACTCCTTCTTGCGCTTGTCTCCCGGCGAATTTGGGGGTGCGTGCGCATCTAGCTATTGTGACCGTCGCGAGTCGTATCATGACATCACGCCTACATTCATGGTGCAAACACACTCCGCTTGTAGAATCTCTCTCTCTCTCTTTCTCATTTAAGTAAATTATGATCCATTTTCAGAAGTTAATTCTGTTTCTTTAAGCTTCAAACATTAAAAATATGTTATGTTTTGTAAATATTTATGAGAAACAATTTACGCTTTTCATTTAATTGTTTCCTGTTTTATTTTCCAGAGCTTGACAACATGTTAGGAGACTGGCTGATGCAAGGGATGGAGATAGAGTCGAAGATAATTTTGAAGCTGGTGCAATACATCCAGCGCAACGTGGGACCCTTGGTGAAACTGACTGCGCTCATCGCTGAACTCGATTGGTACATAGAGTGATAACAGCAAACTCGGCTTTATTATTTGGTCAACATAAAATTTAGGCTAAGAAGCTATTTTAGGCAGCTAAAAAGCTTTTATTGTTTTGAAAAGGTTAGTTTAAGCGAAGTGAAAATCAATCAACAAATTTGATTGGTCTGTAGAATCAACTAAGAAAACACACTGCTAGGTCACAAATAATTTTTGAAAACCCGTCAAAGCAATCCAAGATTTGATTCAATGTTTTATTTATAAAGATCATTTCAGCAAATCTCATAGTCACCATATTGACTGCCTATAAATTTCAAATGAATATAGTCTGTTGGCGCTGGCGAGAGCTGCCCGAGACTTTAACCTGGTCGAGCCTCAGATGACCTTGGACAAGCAGATACACATCAAGAGAGGGCGAAACATTCTACAGGAGCTGTGTGTGGAGATGTTCGTACCTAACGACACACACTCTAGCGTGGAGGACGGGCTCGCCAAGATACTCAACGGTCCTAACGCCAGCGGCAAAACTGTCTATCTAAAACAGGTACCGGTAATTAGTAATCACCATCAAAATTGTTTTAAAGTTGGGTAGCTGAGTGGGCATAGTGCTTACTTTGTGATCAAAGGTTGGCTGGTTCAATCCTGAGAATTGTCATTAGTTTGTATAATGGTTTGAAACTTTACCCAGCTACCCTTGATCATTGGTGTTATAAATGGTCCTGGCTAGGACGTAGCTGATCTTGGTCAGTAACAAGGTACGCGGGGGCCCCGCGAGCTATGGAGGCCCGTGAGCCCTGACTGGGATTTTTCGGGAAATTTTACCGGGACACTGGCCCACAATTGTGTGACAGGCTCAGCCACACGGGCCCCCTATCATAACAATATTTAGATGAAAATGACCATAAGTTTTTTCATGCCGAAAATTTAGTAAGAGCACTAGGACAAGTAGTAGAAACAGCTTAACTGACACTATTATTTGGCCGATCGATATAAACTCTCTACCAACCTAAGTAAAAGAATTGTCATTAGTCATGCAGGTTGCAGGTTGCATCAACAGTCCTCATGGACTGCGTGAAGGCGCTATTTATAATAGGGCCGTATTTAGAACCAGTGTTTCCCTGGTCTAGGAGGATAAAACATTAATGTTAATCCTCCTAGGGTGGGGCACACCAGAGAGGGCCCTCAATGCTGATTTAACTTAATGAACTTGACAATTTTTTACGATCAAATCGGATAATTAACCTAGGTGCCTGATGCACTAGCTAATAAATAATTCCATTCTTTTATTGACGCTAAAGAAGGATTTTCATTTCACTTCATTTCTTACTATTAGGAGGCTGCACTTTAGATTTGTTTACTTTGCACTTTAGATTTGTTTACTTCGAGTCAGGTAAAAAAATTTACTTACTTATAGGCCTCGGGCCAAATCAGAGCGGTTCAAAATCGGTTTGCTTTGGAAACTGTTGATTTTTATATAATGTTGATTTTCGAGCCGAGCATTCGAGCAGAGCCTGTATATAAGCTTGAGAGATCAAGCACAAAGTCAGAAAATCAAGCTCAAGCCGATTTTCTCAGTACAATAATGCCCAGTTAAAATTAAAGCTTTTATGTCCGCGAGGATCACGCTCATGAAATTGAAAGATTAGGCCTACGTTTTTGCCTCGATTGCGGATATCGACGAGAACATTTCCCCGCGGGTGACGATGACGATGTCTCCGCGGCCGCAGGAGACGTTCAATCTTTTGCCGGATTGCGGAAGACGTTATTGACGTTTTTCTGCGAGTGAGATATATTAAGGATTTTGCCGCAATTGCGGAAAAAATTATTTCCCCGTCACCACGGGTCGTGGGGCGGGAGTTATTAAGGATTGGGCCGTGAACGCGGGAGACGATAATGTTGTTATCTGATAATGTCATAGGTCATTTTTCCGCGATCATGGAAGAGGATGATGACGCCTAGGGAGACGCCGTACCAAGCTAAAGTGCAAGTTTAGGCGGTAAAACATGTGATATAATATTTTTTAAGATTATTGGGAGGGGGCCCGGTGAACGAACTTGCGGGGGGGCCCGCGGGCTCTTATAGCCGCCACTGCTATTGCAGTAGCCAACGTGTTAAATACCGCTAATAAATAGATGCGTACATTTTGTTTGCGTTATTGACCAAGGTTTTTGTATACAGGTTGCCCAGATTGTCTACTTGGCACAGGTGGGAAGCTATGTACCAGCTGAGAGTGCTACTGTAGGTGTTGTGGACCAGATCCACTCTAGGATACACCCTGTAGACGCTGTAGACTCACAACTGTCATCCTTCATGGTGGATCTCAGACAGGTATACCAACACAACAAAACACATGTGAAACACACAAAGTGTGAGGTTGTTTAATGTTAATGCATTGATTTCAAATTTTAAGAATGAGTAAATCTATTCATTTCTCAAATATCTAATCTAAGCTTATGGCCACATTGAGTTTTAGAAAACATTTACTTTGGAGGAAAATAAAATGAGGTAACATTAAACGTTGTTCCTTGTTTCAAACTTATGTACTTAAGAAAATATTTCACCTTTTTCACCCTACATTATAACATTGAATTGTATTTTGAAAATGACGTTTGTGATAGATACACTTGGTTCAATCGAAAATCTCAGGCTTGCACACTTCTAGTGGGAGGCATATTTTGCCGTCTTAAAATGTATTTGACAAAAAACATAAATTTTTAACAGATCACTCAAAATACATATTATTAATCCATTATTACCTTACAAACATTTTTTTCAGATGTCAATTGCTATCAGGAACTTTACGTCCAACTCACTGGTCATTATCGATGAGTTTGGGAAGGGCACTCCGGAGGTCAACGGCCTAGGGCTACTCGCGGCCTGTTTGGAATATTTTGTAGCTAAGAACCACGAATGTCCCCACCTCTTTGTGTCAACACATTTTCACTCTCTGGCTAATCTGCTTCCCCCATCAGATAACATCAAGCTTCAGGTAAGGTTAAATGGTTACCTTTTTTGAAAGTAGTAAATAGTTGTTTCCTTACTATCAGACCAGTATAATGAACGGCAAAACTGTATTCAGACTAATATAAAGTCTGTAAGGTAGAATAAGTCCTTGTAGAAAAAAAATATTTTATTTTACTCTTTGCACGGAGGTAATTTGGAGACTGAAACTCTAAAAAGTGGCAGCTTTGAAGAATTAAATTAATTTTTTAACTAGTTATATTCCCACGATTAGATGTGAGTAGAATCAAAAGTCTAGCCTAAAATCTGAGTGGTCGAGCACCAAATCATAAATTAATGCCAAGACTTTATTCTTATGATATCAGAAAGTGTCTGTGTGTAATTGCGTAGTTGAAAATATAAGAAGTCTCTAGAATTTTAGATTGGTACTATATTATGAATATGGCTGTACACTTCAAATTACATTTTCCCCATTTCCGGATTGCAATGTAGTAATTGGGCACTTTCACTAACCCAGCACTAATTAGTTACCACATTATTGGGCCGGACTGGTGAGGGTTCACTGTAGTTTGTATTTTCCCCTCTTTGTTGCAGCATCTAGAGCACATGTTGGACAAAGGAGAGCTGGTGTTCCTGTACAGACTGCGCGATGGGGTGGTGGGGGAGAGCTTTGCACTGAGAGTGGCGCAGAATCACGTACTGACACGTCCATGGGCCGACAGAGCTGCTCAGGTGAAAACAAATGGCAGAGTGAAAATAGTTTCACCATTATTTTCAACCACTCTAGCACAATGTCATTGTGTTGATTGAATTGGTATAAATAGGAAAACAAAAATGTATCAACTAAACGTGCTCTGGAGCCAGAAAATATTCTTTTAGCCATAGTGTGAAGTGAACTATTCAGAGATAAATAGTGTGGTGGTTGCCGCCAATCTGAACTAATTTGGTACCAAATTGTTTGGATTGGCCGGAAATTGTTTAAAATAATCACAATGATATATTCTTATCACAGAAATACAACACTAATTACAAAAACAATATGATTTTCTCATACAATCATGACAAGATCGTAACAATTTCTGCACACACTGTGATCATCTTCCCCAATCTTCCTAATATCCACGTAAATCTATTGTGATCACGGCAACACTTGTTCTTCTTACTACAAAGTGACAATCTGATAAGAGAACCAGCAAAACCCTGTCATAGGTGCTTGGACATATAGTCATTAAAATTTCCCTGTTCCATACAAAATTCACAGATTTTTCCCAGTCATAAAAATTAATGCACGATTCCAGGTGTTTTGTTCAGTAACCTTTATCTCCAACAGGTGGTTCGTACGGTAACCTTTTGCTCCAACAGGTGGTTCGTACGGTAACCTTTTGCTCCAACAGGTGGTTCTTATTAGCGGGTTTTTTCTCAGCAGAACTCCAGTGCACTTGTTTAGCAGCAGTAAGTTAATTAGTAATCCATCTTAAGGAGGGTTGGAAATGTAGTAGAGAGATTGGAGCTGAATAATTGATATTCTTTTCTGATTTTGGGTTAATATTTTGTCTATAAATTAATAAAGTCGTTTTTTTGTCATGTGATAAACAGTGAGTTAAATCTAATCATTTAATGTTAAATCACCTTGACACTATTAGGCAGGTACTTTTCCTCATGTAAGGTTCTTGAAGCTCACATGGACATGGCAATGAAGTATGATATGTATGGATTTTATTTTCAAACATCATCAAAATAGTATAGTTTTTTTTTTCTAACAGATTCTGCATACTCTGAAGAACTCTGGTAGTTTTACCGCAGACAGTGACAACAGACTTACTCGAATGGCAGCTAAGTATGATTTCCCAATGTTTCATATATATATGTTTATATATATAACTTAATTTGTATATTGTGACAGGTGGATATTAAACTCCGTTATCAAAATATAATTTTATGGTAAAGTAAATAATAATAAGAGATTTAATATTAAGTTTCATACTTGTTGCAATGAGGGGTAAAATGGATTAATATTAACGATTAAAAAATGTGTAGGAAATTTTTTAAGATAATCCAGAATGGCGTATACCGGATGTCCCATAATAGTGTGTGACATCATCACAGCCATGAAAAAATAAAAGTGATGGAATGTCAAGTTTCAGATAAATTAATGTATAAAATTTCTTGCCATCATTTTTTGAAATTTTGTCATATATCAAAGTCAGATTTGTGGCATTAATTTTCTTTTTTAAATGACGTGCTACTTTATAAGGGTTGCCAATTGAAAATTTTAAGTTACCCCCAGCACTTAAGTGCTTTTAAGTTATACTATTTGGGGACGGGGAGTGAATTTCAAAATACCACCAAAAAGTACATTACATCAATTCAATTCAATTTATTTATTCAATAACAACACAATGACAAAAGGGCATTATAACACTAAGCTACATAAGCCTCATAAAAGGCTTGTCCGTAGCATTTCTTGATTTCACTTACCCTAGTACCTAACGTCTATCAAAGCTCGTTTGAATTTATGCTGCCATTCAAAAGCTAACCAGGGGGGACTATTATGGGACACCTGGTACATAATTCTGAACTACTTTGTGATCTTTTGAGAAACCATCTTAGAGCAGGTGATATTAACTCGACTTGACCATTGATGTAAACTTGGTTTTGTCAACAATCTATTGATTTATACCTCAGCCTACCTTGATAGACTGTACTATTCATTGTCCTCTTCACCTAACTCCATTGTACCAAATATTGCAAATAGGCTCGGCAAGGCATTAATCCCCCAATTACTATCACCAAACATTTTTTTCAGGAGGAGTCAGTTCCTGAAAGACTTCAGTAAGGCAGTGTTAACTGAGGAGAAACTGAGTGAACTGAAGAAAGAACTGGTCGGTCTTCGCCTTTAAACACACCAATAAAGAAACCAGACCTCCTATATGAGATGACTTATCTTTAAAGTGATTTTTTTCTTTGTAATTTTACACATTTGGTGTGTATGATTCAGCAGTGTATTGATTTAGTGGTTTTGTCTGAATTTAAAGTACTCTGTTCAGAATCCATCTAATTTTTTACGGAGTGTCTTTTTTTTATAATCTATATTTTTAACGAGTGCATCAAGTTCAAAGCTAGACTCTCGGAAAACTAATTACTTTAAGAACAAAATGTCTGACAGTGATTTAATTTCTTTAAGAATAATTTAATTTGTATAGTATGAGTTCTCCAATGTCAAGTTGTTTGTCAAGAGGTATGTCTAATGCACTGAGGTGATAGGAATGTGCGTGTTGCAGACAATTGGTTAAATATAAATAGCATAATGATTCAAACATTTTATTACATAAAACAATGTACAATAAAAATGTAAATAAGATTGTGATCCATCTAGTCTATAAGCTATAAAATATGCAATTTGTTCTTAAATGAAGCGTTTGCCATCAATAATTGTTAAAATATTTTTCTCATTTACTTGCTGCACACAGTTATAGTACAATAAATTTTACAATAAAATTTTCTTACATTGTGTTTCACATGCAAAAGGGTTCTTGACTGATCAAGAAACAGTTTTACAACTAGGTTTTCAATCAGGAGTCTTTAGGATTTAAAACCGTTTTAAACTATTTAACATTCTGAATTCTGATTTTCAGTAAAGCATGAACAGACAGCAACAATTGAAAATGTACACATTAAAACATGAATAGGCTACTACATGCATTTTTACAAAGTGGCATAGTTACTGATTATCAAAAATAGGATACTCATTCAAACATAAAAGATCATATAGTTTTGTTACAAATACAAGCTAATGTAAAAAATTAAAAATTATAACTACATAAATGCAATGTACTAATTTCCAGTGACACTTTAATGTAGGGTTTGACGGTTAAAATGAAGCTTGTTGGAGGATACTATATTAGAAATAATTGGGTAAATATGTAAAACGTAAAATTCACTCAGACTTGATAGTTGAGTTCTAGAGCTTCTGCCCCCATCAAAAAAGCAAAGATAAATCTCAGATGGTAACTGAAGCAATCCTGATTGTGATTTTTACTCAAAATTGTGCCGAAAGAATCCTCATCACAGAGAATCACTATTATTTTCTCAATTGGTGGAAATATATCTTTAGGTGGGATTCTAACAGCCAGATCACAGTTCATAATCACAAAGTTTTGGCGAGTCAAAATTCGGATTGATGAGCAGTACTTTTTTCATTTCATTTGTCTTTACCAGCGGAGTTCTTTTTGAAAATTCAGCTACACTGAAGTAAAGTTTGCAGAAGATTAAAAAAAAAAAAAAAAACTATGGGAAGTTAAACCAATTGTATGCATATGCAGTAGTTTAAATTGCCACTATTATAGAGTATTGAGTATCATCCACATTATGGCAAACATATGTATACAGTATTAGGCTAAACCATATTTTAATACCTGGCTGTTAATAGTAAGACTCTTTCTGCCAATGGGAAATAAGGAAGTAGCTATAAAAATCACATCCGATTGTTCTACAACTGATAGGACTTGAGCCAATTAAAGAGTTATTTTACAGACTAATTAATTGTAATTTAACAAATCCCATTTTGATTTTAACTCTCACTATCTTATTTAGAATAAGAAACCACTCAAAAATATACATCTATACAGTTTGATATAAGTACAAATATAATAAATGCTATTTAATATTGGATGAAATTTCAAAATTGGGTGGGATATAATTGCAGTTTTCACATATAATACACCACAAGGTTATATATCCTGGAACACTTAACATGTATGACTTATTGGTATGCAATGGTATGGGTTGCCTATACAACAAGCAGGTACGATATATACTGTGACGAGGAACATTTTATGTGGAAGTGACGCCCTTTCTAGCCACAAGCAAATTTAGGATCGGATGTTTCTTGATGTAGTCTACTGCCTTTTTATGAGTCACCATCGTAAAATCATAGCCGTTACACTGGAAATTGATCAAATACATTTTATTGGTAAAGGTGTTTGTAACGATATACAATTAGACTTTAATAAATTAGGCAATGGTATATGGTTTTGAATCACAATTTGGCCTACTTAAAATTAGATGTGCAGAAATTTGGAATAGAGAGGGTATGGAGTAGGATTCAGGCGGGGGAAATGAAGTTTGTAAGATGTATTAAAGGGGTATCAAGATTGGATAGAATTAAGAATGAAGAGTTGAGAAGAGGAATAGTTGAAGAAAGTTTGAGAGAACAAGTAGATAAATCGAGATTGAGATGATCCGACCACTTAAGAAGAATGGAAAATTATAGAATTCCTGAATGAAGAAGACCAAGAGGATGACCTAGAAGAAGGTAGATTGACAAGGTGAGAGATATGGAAGCAAGAGTGCATTGACAGTATGTGGAGGAAGAGGAATAATTGTGGAGGGCCAGAAGAAGGAGAGGCCTAGTGAACACCCAGACCTGGAAACTGGAACGATGGAGAATATGTATGTATGTAATATAAGATATGTGAGAGATAGTTGTATTTAGTTTGAAGAATATAGCCGAGCGAATGCTGAGATGCAGGTGACGCAATGCACGCAAGCAAAACTTTGCTTGTTTGTAGGTGAAACTTCACCTACAGGTCTTTGGAGTTTTCTCCGTAATTGTTAAGCTTACAAAAAAATCCAGCATTCACAGAACATGTTTTAAGCTGCCCAGGCCTATACAAAATGGTTGAGTCTTAAAAAAAAAAAAAATATTTTCAAATTATTACAACATCCATAAAACCCCGTTCTGATAGTCTGATCCAATACTATTTTGCATCTCTTAATCTCTTGGATAATTCGCACGGACCAACTCAATCACAAAGGCACACACCTTGTGTCTGAGTGATTTCACAAGTGGCGTAAAATCTTTGTCTTTGCTACAAAATTTATCATGCATGTTCCAGACAAATACAGGTGTGTGCCCCAGCTTACGTGGCTTAGTAAAAAAACATGAGGACACAGTTTTCTGCCGCTTGTTGCGTTGCGTAGCCTGTGTCTTAGCCAACGACCGGCCTTTAGCTCAGCTTTCTTACATACTTTTCTGGCATTAATTGTTAGCTCAATTAGAATTTTTTTGGCCATACTCTTTTCCAATTATATTTCCTAATTTATTGTTTCTCTTATGTTTAAAATAATTCCTACAAACTGATCCTAATAAAAGTTATTTAATTTTGAACAAAAACTAGTAAAAGATATTTTATGAAAAACTACAAAAATTCATACATAAGAAGACACTCTTCATGAAAATGGATCTCATCTAGAAATGAGAAAGAAAAGTTCAGCATAAGTTTAGGACTCTTACCTGTAGTATTTTATCGTGCATCCGCAAACCAGATTTTGATGCTGGGCTCCCTTCATGTACCTCTGTTACGTATATACCCTGGAAATATGAAATAATTAACAATCTAAACTAAGCCGGCCGGCCGTAGCAAGATCAGGTAACACGGAAAATAGTCAAACAAATTGAAAACATGTTGAGAATCATAAAATCAATAATATTTCTTTGGTTTTAAACCTACTTGAGGTTCTAAACTTGTCTTTTGTTAAAACTACTTCCCTTTTCTTTGGTATTTCTGCTATTTTTTCGGTAATGCAGTACAAACCCATATACAACCCCTATTTTTGGGGCGAGGAATCTTATGGAACCATCGCCGCCCCCTACGACCCCCCCCTTTTTACTTTCAAGAGGGGAAATGCCCCCCAAATAAAATATATATGTATTTTTTTCATTTACGTTGATTTATTATGTTATCTTCCATAAAAATATATATGTATTTTTTTTTCATTTACGTTGATTTATTATGTTATCCTCCATAATTACAGTCATGTGCAAGTACCTAAGGCTTGATGGCCATATTCCAAGTATAGTCAGAGGAAGCAAAGCAGTCGTATCGACGGACAGGCTGCATAGAAGGCCTACTGTCACAACACATGGATATAGTATGTGATTTCATGGTACTCAATCATCCACAGAGTCGGATAGGTAACACCGAAGGTTGGGTAACCAAATATCAGAAAATTAAGATCTTATTGTGATAAGGATTTAAATAACTTCTTGATCAGCATTGTACGTGTTATTAAATTTACGGAAAGTAAATAAAAGAAATGTCTTATAACACTTAAAACATAAATTTACGCTTATACTGTTACTCACAAGAAAGTAAATATACAAAAAAGATGGTAAGTGGTGATCGATTTCGATTGGACACTCCAATCGTCATCAGACCCAATAAGCGAATGTTGTGAAGAAATTCGCTTATTGGGTCCGATGATGATTGGAGTGTCCAATCGAAATTGATCACCACTACACCATCTTTTTTTTGTATTTACCGTCTTTCAGTAACATATATGTTTTAAGTGTTATAAGACGTTTCTTTTATTTACTTTCCGTAATAAGGATTTGAAAACCATATTGTGTTCAATTTGATTATAATATACTGGATGATAATTACATTATAAATTTAAAATATTGAGGTTCCATTCAAACTATTGCCATGCACATTGCACAAACTGCGGAAGATTATCCCGGCAATCTGGCATAACAACTAATAATGCAAGGAATCATAACTTACACACAAACCGTATTCATTCATGCAAAACTCCACAGACAACTTAACCTACTTAATGTCCCAGCAAAAATCATATGAGGATTTGTTTGAATTTGGAAAATGTACTGTGAGTTGAACTGGAACTTTAAATATTTTGTTATCACTAGGCCTATTGATCATGCACATTCAAGCTAATCTCATGAAAATGAGTAGCCTATTAATATTCCTTGAGTGAACTGTAAAACGAAACTGCCAACTTACGTTATCTGTATAGCCTTGTGGACTTTTTCTGTAATCTTGGTCTATTCCACCTCCAATTTTGAAGCCACATTTTAAGACTTCTCTGCCTTCATGATCGACACCAGCTTCCTTTTGTAAAGTGATTGGAATCTAAAATAACACAGAAAGTCATAAAGATTTAACAAAATAATTAAATAAATAATTAACGTAAATCATTAAATAAGTAGCCTATTAACTTAGCCTACTGTAACTTACCATATTAAGTTAGTTTTAAAAACTAATTTAGCATATTAAACACAGTCTATCCCAAAACATGTTGACCACATAAAACTACCTAAGTTAGGCCTTTTTGACGAGGTTAATCAAATTACTATCACAACAACAAACCTGTTTTTAGTAAAACTTTATCTAATTAGTCAAAGGGCAAGATAACCAAGGTAAAATATTGAAGAGTAAAGTAACTGGCAGTTGAATTTTACGTCAGGTCGGGACTAACCTTACAATAGTTTAGCCTACTTATCTATTGTTATCTAAGGTTAGACTACTTATTGAGGGACTAACCTAATAACACTTAAGTTACTTTCATTCGTACAACGTAGCTTACAGCCTACAGGGCCCTTAGAGTACAACTGTCATTATCAAAAACATGTAAATCTGACAGATTATTAAAAAAATACAAACTGATTTATTGTGTAGAACACAAACAACAGCATATCACTGTAAGTTACTTACGCTGAGACATTCCATAGCCGTTCCGGCTTGGTGCTGAAATGCCATTTTAGCACACATTTCATAACCTTTTTAGAGAACTTTTTAAGAGGAATAAATGACCTAGGCCTATAAAAATAGATATTCTTTTCAAGAAGACAGTTCCAGGAAGGCCTAGTAATCACACAATCATCTGGCACTCCCTAACAAAATTATTAATAACAAAACAGATTTGTATTGAAAAGGATATTTTAGTACAATCAAAGCAGCTGAATTCAAATACTATCCGGCAAATAATATTAGCGGACCTAATTTATAACTATATGCAATTTAATTAAATGTGGAACACCCTAAACACTGATAGGAGGTAGTTTAGTTTAGAGGTTGTGTTGTGACGTTTCGAGTTTACAGAATGGAAATGGAACAGCAGTTCTTCTTCTGCTTACCAGGCGTGTCACAGCAGTTCTTGGGGTATCTTCTAGATATTGTCATAGATTAAGATATTATCATACCTTATTTTTTATATTGTTTATGAGATCCAACAAAATTGTATTATTAGAGTCAGTTAATGCGTTTACGAGTTACATTGTGCCGTGCGCGTCACTTATATATATATATATACTCAGCGTGCGAGCAATAACTTACTGGCCAAAGCGTAATAGCTGCCAACGGCAATAGAGGTAAAAACGACGAGCATACGAGAAATCTCTCTCGTTCCCTTTTTGTCTCTTGAACCTGAACATCGCCGGAATCTTAGCTGATAGCTCCAAATTATACATAAGTATTAGTATCTAAGTAATTGTTTTAATTATCAGGGAATCCAAATTTAAATCATGAAATAGTTTAAGTTCAGTTAGGGGTTGCCGGGGAGAAACTAGGGGAGATTATGATGTAGGTTTTCCTAATTTAAAATGTCGGTCTTCTCCTTAAGCTCATCAGCTTGTCGAAACAAAGTCTTTGAAAATATATTTTTCCACATTTAAAGTGGAGTAAATATTTTCATAGCCCAGTAATAAAGGTTTCGTATCCTCAAAAAATAAATAAATACAATTAGCTGCCTCCACGATTACTAGAAAAAATTTTCTAGTATTCGTGGCTGCCTCCAAACAAAACCGCTGTTACAACACTACTTGCGATGTTACCACTTCGAAGGCCCCGTTTTAAAGGTGGCCGTGGGAATGCTCAGGATTAGTACACCACACGTCGAGATTCCAACGTATTGCCTACCGAATTGAAGAGGACTTCCCCTGGTTTGTTCAAGAGAATACTTTACGAACTAACTCCAGCATCTATTTTATAGAGTGAGTGAATTCATGGACTGACCAAATTTTTAAATTTAAATTTAGATCATAGGTTTTATTTTTTTAAATGTATTTTGACCCCATTGTTAACCCTTAAGATTGTGCAACAAAGACTCTTTCTCTTCAAACCTGAAGGTTGCTGGTTCGATTCCAAGCAAGATCGTTTCGAGACCCAGAGATGCCAGTTGTCATGGGCTATGAATTTATGATGCTAAAAAGTTTGACGTGCCATTACCGTAAATTAACACACCCAGTCCAAGTCCAAGCCCCTTGATGAAATTACTGATTATATATCTTCTTTATAAATTTTTAACAAGCTACCTGACTCTATCAAGCATCTTGAGAGGTGAAGCATTTTTATTTTTTAAAGAAGCTGGCCCCTCTTCTCAAATACAAGGATTATTTTGCTTTGACGACACATTTTCCGCATGTTCTTACTGATCCACCTATCCTCATGCCAAAGATCGACAATGTATGTTTTTTTTGTGTGTCAGTTTGTTTTAAACGTATATCTGTAAATTGAAATTCGGACACAATCAAACAAATAAATTGGTTTTTTGTATTGATGGTAATGACAATTATTGCATGTAATGTTTCGATATCACAATTATCAAACTGGTCGTTTTTGTACTTAATTCTGAGAGGCTTACACTATATAGCAATTGTTCCATTGGTAAAAGTGTAGTTCTGTTGTGTAATTAATAATAATGTAGCAAATTAAGAATAAAAGCAGATATCTTTAATCACGGCCACCTTTAACTCCAGGCCTCAGCCTGGTAGAATTGTCAACGTTGCAAGTAGTGTTGCCTAGCGCCAGACGTCCCATAAGATAACATGGCAGACAGGCGACACCAGCTCATTAATTCGCGGGTTGTTAATTTAAATTTAAATTTATCAACATAAATTTATTATAAGATTTAAAATAAAACTTTTATAATTGAAAGCCAAAACAGTATTTTAATTGAAAATCTATTTTTGCACATTTAAAGTGAAGTCAATATTTTTATAGACTAGTAACCAAGCTTTATTATTCAAAAAACATACACAAATAATACCATTAGCTGCCTCCAAACAAAACGGCTGTTACAACCCTACTTGCGATGTTGCCACTTCGAAGGCCACAGCCTGGAGTTAAAGGTGGCCGTGTTTACAGTTCTATGAGGATACCATAAAACTACATGACATTTTAGCCAACCTACCTTCAGATAGCACCAATTTGTAAATAGCAGCACATGGAACAGAAAAAAAGGAGAAGTCGGGGTCGGGAAAAAGAAAAAGTAGCAAGCAAGAGGAAAGTAAACAAACTCTCGGTCTTAACCTCTCAATTTATTTAATTACTTTATCACTTAAACTTTTTTCACAATTTAAAAGCATTCATATTATATTGGAAAATTTGTCATAATACATGTTGGTAGGTAATTACAAACTAATTTATTTACTTAAAAATGTTAATCTCTTGTTAGTTCCTGTAGGCCTAGTAGCCTACCTAGCTTTAGCCAAAGGCCCACTAAGTTTAAGTTAGGCCTACTGACTGGCCCAGTAATGGGATGGGACCAGTTGGTTACTGTCCTCAATGTTTATTATTGTTATATCCATAGTCTTTGTTAACTTATTCATTGTCAGATTATTTATTGTATTCTATTGAGTAACTTTTTGTATTGTTCAGCTTGTTTTTCATCTAGGCTATGTATTTTGTATTCTATTGAGTATTGAATTATTGTTCAGCTTGTATTATCATCTATTTATTGGCTTAGCCGTTGGCATGTATAAATAAATAAAATTAAATTAAAATAAATGTTAAAACTGTAATACAATGGCCTCTACTGAGTTCATTAGTTTATAAGTTAACAGCCCTTGAATGTTAGAACTGAATAAAATCTGTTTCCGTTCAGAATTACTGCTGCAATACAATAGTAAGTAAAGTATCTAACCTAGGCCTCGTTCTGTAAAACGCCACCAACCAAAACAATGAGGGTGAGGCCATTACTCGTACCGGTAACCTACTATGTATTCTGTCTTGTTTTGTTTGTCAACCTATTTATTACACCTGTGTCATTTTTCAAAGAGTTGCAGAGAATAAACACAAAAGCTTATTAAGAAAGCGGTCCCAAATGCACCAAACCCATCCCCCTCTTGCACAAAAATCATTCAATAACTTGTTAAATGTACCTATTTTGTTTAGATCTACAACCAGGCCCACTTTTATAAATGGGCAGACTGGGCATATGTCCAGGGGCGCCTGGCGGGCGTCGCACAACTATTGCCCACCCGCACTAGAAAAAATGGGGTCGCTGCTTTTGAGTTTGCCTAGGGCTCGACTGGCCCTTAACGCGGCCCTGTCTACAATAGTTGTTTTACACCTTTTTAATTACAGTCTAAACATTTACAACTGTAGGCCTACTCAAAATTTCTTTCTTTTAATAATTAACAAGATAGATTACCGTTACTGGTAGGGCTACTTAATTTTGATCTTACCATGGTATGAGATCCGTGTCGTCATCTGCTCCATTACATTCTGTTCGCGGACTACCCACGTCATGACAGACAACCATTGTTGCCTAGCTAATTTTCCAATTAATTTCCAGTTTTTCCATGATTTTGGTTAACCCAGGTTTTGGTTTCACGATGTGGTTAAAAAAGCGATTACTGCACTCGTTAGTTCAGCTCTTGTTAGCTTTTCTGAACTTCACTGATTTTTTCAAATCAATCCTGTAAGTATTTTGTTGTGTTTTATTTTTTCACTGTACTTTCATAAGCTTTAGCCAACTTTGGAAATTAATTGAATAATCAGTGGTGATATCTAGTTTTTAAATATTAGTAGCCTACATGGCTTGACTGTTTGATTTTGTTAAGTAATTTAAGACTTGAGGATGACTTCACAGTTTGTGATGTGATTTGTTTCAGGCTGCAGTTTGAAACTTAATTGCTGTAACTATCAACACAATGTCTGCAAGTCAAGCAGCAAAAACCATTTTACTTATGGGTAAATGTCTTCCTACTGCCAAAGAAAATGCAGTGAAAGTTGCAATCAGCAGATTTGAACTGAATAAATACCTCAATATTGTAAGTATTTTGTGAGTTAAAATTCTTAAGAGTACCTATCAATAATCCTAGATGCCTTATACAGTAGACTCTCGCTCATCCGGACTAATGTGGCGGACGTCCGGTCCGGATTACAAAAAATCCGGACTATCGAGAGTTGATTGTATATCAATTTTGTTCCAGGTCCACAGTATTAATAGCCATGCAAATGCAGTTCCACCAGTAAAAAATCAATTTTTGGTACTAGTTGGTAGAGAAATGTCTTCTTATTTAATATAATAAATCACTTATTATTGTACTGCAATAATAAACCATACCCTCCAGTTTCAATACGATTTTAGCGAATTTCCCATATAGGGAATAAGCTATTACCGTAGTACTCACGGTAAGACCTGGACCCGGGACCGATTTTTTTTTTCGTTTTGAGGTCCCTAGAGGTCAAAAACACCATCCGTTCAAATTCATATATATATATATATTTATATATATATATATATTTATATATATATATTTATATATATATATTTATATATATATATATATATATGTGTCCGTTAGCGCGATAACTCGAGCAAAAATTATCCGATTTTGATGAAATTTGGTACAAACGTGTAAACCTACGTTTATTCGAACGAGTTCGCAAACCAGCATGATCGGACCATGGGAACGGGGGTTTATGGGGGCTTTTATGGGGAAAAAATGGGTTTTTCCCATTTTTGACCCAAAAAACATAAAATTTTGCAATTTCTTATGAAACTATTTTGTAGAGCTTAAAAAAACAAATAATTTAGTATATTGAAGCGTTATAATGCGCCTAATGGTTACGGAGAAAATTCCAAAAAATTGTAAATTTAAAATTCCCATGTTATTCTTATGGAGAATAAGTAAACTGTTGTAGTTTGCTTGTTTATAAACATATTTTGCCCAAATTTGAAAAATGTTTTTATTTCTTACTAACTATTAACATTTTACATAAAAAACACTTTTACCCTCCCTGTTGCAGCAAACCTAAGTATGTTTTAAACTGATTCTATTTAAATAGGGAAT